CACATATATGCAGACGTATTACGTAGTATGCATGTTTGTTCGAACGTACGCGCGTTGCAGCAACCCTTGCAACCCCCCCTTCCCCCTCACAGTGGCTCGTGTGTGGAAGTTTGACAGGACGTTGCTGGCGGGGTAACAATGTGCGCGCGCGTTCACGTCCATGCTCGTGTGTCCGACGATGCAGTCGAGACTTCAGAAGTCAACCGGCTGGCTATACATACGTGGCCTCCCTAACCGTTGTTGTGATCTCTTCTATCTAGTGTTAAACGCACACAATTCTATGAGTACTATAAACTTTTTCGTTTTTTTTTTTCATGTGTCGTATCCTGTTGTGGATATTGTGATTTTTACGTTTAATTATATTTCTGGTGATAATTAGAAAAAAAAGAACAACTTAATAGGAAGAGACAACGATTAAACGGATTATTATTTGGGATATAATGATCTACGATAAGGTTTAAATATTTTTTCTTGTATTTTATTCTGTTTTTTGTTTTGTTTTTTATGTTGTTTTTTTTTTTGTATTATGATATATTGAAACAAATGAAATATTTAAATGTGTGCATTCTTTTGCTTTGATTTGTGTGTATGTGCTTTTTTTTATTCGAATATACTTTTTATATCTATGTAATTTTAAAACAAATAGGAAAAATATCTAATAGTGAGAATTCATTTTCTGAAATTTTTTATATATTAATTTGTATATTTCATTCGTATTTTTTTCTATAAGAATATGTTTTATGAAACAAATGGAAAACATAAAGATTATAATTAGTTCATTAGTTCACGTTTTTAATAACCTAACGTTTATTATTAAACGTTTTTTTTATTTTTTATTAAACTGTTTTGAATTCCCGCTAAATATATATACATACGCTCATATATACATATACGTGTTATTATACTTACACAACAGGTATTAAAGTCTTACGGAAATGGGGACGTAAAAATAATCTAAAGTGTGCTTGTTAAATTTTCTAAGAAAACGGGTATTTGCATTGATGTTTTTACGTACGTATGTACGTATTAGTATATTATATATATAAGTATGCGTTAGATGCGTGTCGAGAAACGGTAGGGTCGATGACGGGTAAGGCAAAGGGGTGGATTTAATTCATGGAAGCATTGAATACGATTTTAATGTAAAACATACATTACATACTTTCTCTCGAGGATAATTTATATACACGTGGTAAGGAGAAAGAGTGTAAAAAAGAAAGAGAAAGAGAGAGAGAGAGAGATTATCGCATACTTTACGATGTTACCGAAAGCCGTTAATTCTTTCTATGTCCTTTTTTTTCTTCCTTTCTTCCCCTTTTATTGTATTTTATTATTATTATTATAAATATTTCCTAGGGCTTTTCAATCTTCGAGATTATTATACCGTATCTCGTTTATTTTAGATTTACATGCATGCGAAATAGACGTTTTAATCGTTCGATAGCATTATATCAAAGATTTATCATTTTAAACGCATAAAGTACACGCAACTGGTCGAAGTTAAACACAACGAGGACGTGTCGTGAACAATAAATCCCCGCCCCCTCCCCTAAAACGATATCTAATAATTCTTCCACGTGAAAATTGGATAAAAATAAAAAGATAACTTTGATATTATAATTACACATATAAAAAAAGTTAATAAATAATAATAATAATAATAATAATAATAATAATAATAATAATAATAATATATAATAATATTATTATTATTATTATTATTATTATTATGATAATGTTGGGAATCATATATGAAATTTGTAGAAAAGTTTGTAATTTGTTATGTTTTTGTTGTTTAGATCGAGCGAGCAGTGGTAAAACTGGGTCTGCATACGTGGCTCGGACTAGCATGCACCAAGGTAAGTATCGATTCTTGTTAATATACGATCCAAAGGTCTGTGAACATCGCGTTCTAGACACAGTATATATATATTGTACGCCTATACGTAGAAAATATTAGCCTACGTGGCTCTTTCGTCTTCGCGATCGGGAAACACCATTGGATTCTCTAGAGTCACTAGCGCAGCTGTTTTTCCAAATTCTGACCCAAATCCTCCTGGAGTCGCATACGATCGATAGCCACACAATCAGGTTGGAGTCCATTTCGTAGTTAAAGAGAGAAAGATAGAGGAAGGAAGAGAGATAAAAAAAAGAGATAGGGTTTATCTATTAAAAGTCTCACATTAACAAACGTTTCGGTAAACCGTTTGATTATTGTTTCCAACGATTTGTACAATAGCTTTTCTCCTTCTTCAACCTTTCGTACCCCTCTTTTTCCCCGAAGAGATAATTCAACAAACGTCTTTTTTTTGGCTAGGTTCGGGTTTTTACCATTGAGTAATCGCGTATCTAATGAGATCGATCTATCTTTAACGATACCTTGAAAAATTAACGAAAAAACCATCTTTCGATTTAAGATATTAATCGAAGTAACTGTGATGTGTATTTAACCCTTTAATTAATGTTCATCTATAAGTTTACTTAAACGACAATGTTTTCTTTTTACTTTTTCTTCTTTAATTCTTTCTTCTTCTTTCTTCTTTCTTCTTCTTTTTTCTTTCTTTTTTTTTCTTTTTTCCTCTGGAAAGAAGGGGGTGATTTGAAACTCAATCATTTCGCACTTTCACGGGAGTTCAATGGCATAAAAGAGTTCTGAAGCGAGCCCAATATGGTCGATGACAATCGCAAAATTTTCAGTCTGCACATCCACCGACCTCTCCATCAACCCACCTCCACTCTCACCCCCTGCTGTCTCCTCCTACCCCTACCCCTACCATCTCTTCCTCCCTTCCTTCTTTCTCTCTCTCTCTCTCTCATCCAACCATTGTCGTTTGTTCGTTCGTTCGTTCATTCGTTCGTACGTTTCGTTCACGATCGGTAGCGTTGAAGTATAATCCATGACGCGTTCGCCACGTAATCTGATTATGTGCGCGATAGCTTGTAATTAGTTGTATTTTAGCTCGCGATCGTGACCAAAATTTCTTGTATACATTCAATATTAAATAACGTTCTATCGTATCTACAAAAAAAATTATTAATTAGCAATAGAAATAATATATATATATAATAAATAATAATAATAATAATATTAATATTTTAACTTTTGCTGAAAGTAATTTCGTTTTATTTTTAATGGCAAATAATAAATGATTTTTCTTTTTTTATCATATTTAAAATTCAAGACGATTTAAAAAATCACGGATGATCAATATTTGATAAATGATTGGTATGCGTTATGTGACCATTTTTAACATTCACCAAATTCCTTTATTTTTTTCCTCCATACCATATTCAGTTGGACGATCCAATCGCAATGCGTGCATCTTTCAAATTGAAATTTCGAAAAGTAATTTTAACGTTGGCGTTCACTTAACATATCCTACTTGTAAACTGGCACACAATTTTATTCTCCCGTGTATCGTATTATTATACTCTTATAGTAATAAAAAAAAGCAAATTATGATGAAAATTTTTGTCTATGATTTTTTATTTCTGATACGATGAGAAAAACTAAACTACACTTGACGTTTTTTAATTACATTTGATGTGTCTGTTGTTAAACGTAAAATTGATTTTCAGGTTTAGAGCGAAGTTCGATTTAGGTAAACTCAACTAACTAAAATTACTTTCATAATAGACAAAAAAAAAAGAAAGAAAAAGGTATAGAAAGAAATATATAATAATTAACTTAGGATTTTCTTTGTTGAAAAAAACTATGACGTGACGAAGAATATATATCATCCCATAGATTGCAAGGAAATACTTGAAGCTGTGCGTAATTTCTCAAAGAATTTCTTCGCCGGTAGTAGTAAAGTTACCTTGCCGAGCTATGAAATCTCGCGGAAACTTGTAACACGGGGTTAGGAACGCGGAAGTTTCTTCGTTATAATCGAACCTAGCGATTCACGAGATTATCCTTATATAGATACGTATGTATTTTTTTTGTGTAGCATTGATTTATGGTTCGTAGATATGATACACGTGAATTACTTACGAATACTTTTTTGTTTTATAGTAAAGTTATTACCCTCGTTCTCGGTTCATTTAAAAGATAACAAGTAATATAATAATTAACACTTTTTTAGTGTCTTATAATAATATATCGTTGCGTTTATGTATCCAGATGATTTTTTAAGATTTTTTACGATTTTCAACAAATATTAAAATACATTTGTCGTTAATAACTTTTTCCTTCATTTCGTAATATATTAATTTTTAAATTTTTGTATACGTCATTGATAGATTTATTTTTACTCTTTTTATCTCTTAGAACCTATTAAATTATATCAATTTGGTTAGGTATTATTCGCTTGGATAAAAAAAGAATATATATATATATGCACGTATATTTTCTTTTTTTCTTTGCCTACTATTATTGTACATATTTATAAAATTGATTTATACAAATAACGATGTAATTTTGTGGATCGAAAATATTCCTAAGAAATTCAACGATGCCAAAGTAAATCTAAGCGAATAAACACGTCGGATATCTGGAAAAAAAAAACAAATAGTAGCTTCCGTATATAGAATAAGAAGAAGAAAAAGACATAAGAAAAGGAAGAGAAAAAGACATAGGACGAAGATAGAAACGTAAAGAGGTAGGATGGGGGGAGGGGGAGAAGGGTTGTCTCAGAAAATTTACGTGCTTCTCTCACTCTCTACGCAACTTCGAAGATATCTAGTTGTTTATTTCAGAAACGGCGTCTATACGACGAGAAGAGAACGTACGATGGCGTGTGAGTAATCCTAAAAGGGGTTGAAAACGAATATGGAAACGTAGAAGGCAAATCTTTGAGATAGATAAGAAAATCTTCAAAGAATATTTCTCTTTTTCTTTCTCTCTCTCTCTCTCTCTCTCTCTTTTCCTTTCCTCTTGAATCACTTTGAGCAAACGACCTTGATAAACACTTTACTTTACTACGACTTTCATATTTTTCAAACCCTTAAAATAAATAGTATCGTATCCGTTTCATCATTTCCCCCTAAAAAAACTATTCACGATAAACATTTATACATCATTCTTTTTCCTTTTTTTCTTTTTATAACCACTTTAGATTTTTTTATTTTTTACAGAAGATAAATTTATTTCAACGAATGCTTTTTTGCTTTAAATGAATATTATTCCGCAAACGAATATAAAGAATTAACGACGTTGCCTGTAATCATGTTAATCATCAAAACTATTCTTTCATTCATGCAAATTTTCTCTCGTTGTTAGCTCTCTTTCATTCTCTCTCTCTCTCTCTTTTTTTCTCTGGTCTTAAAAACTATCTTCTACCACCTACCAAATACGTTCGTCCTCTAGGAAACATTCGCTTCCGTGCAACGCGACGTTACTCGAGGATAATCCCGTTGTTTTGCATTATCCTTCCCTGTTCCCACTTCAACCCCACCCCCTCTCTCCCTTCATCCTTTCCATTATCTCAACGAGAGTCCGGTGCATTTCGCCTAGCGATAAGACTTGCCTTCTCTTTTTCTCTTTCTGTTTCTTTTGCTATCTATTCCCTATTCTCTCTCTTTCTCTTTTTTCGTAGAAGAAAAAAGGGCCGCGTTCGACCGAGGCTTAACGAAAAATTGCTTTTCCGTTGAATTACCTACAGTATCGTGATTCATGCGCGAGAGAACATAGAGAGAATAAACTTGAAAGAGAAAAAGAGAGAAAGAGAGATACACATAGGCAGAGACAGAGAAGGAGATAGGAAAATGGAAGGAAAAGAGAGGGGAACGGGAACGTAAACGGATCTTATCTCGGTCGATGAAGCACGCCGTTCGATATTCCGATACATATACACACGCCCTCTGGGCGAGTCTAGCATAATAGAATTCCTCGTTATATAAATTTCGGTGCACATTTTTCTGCCATCCATCGATCTATCTACCTTTCTCTCTATCTCACTCACTCACTCACTCACTCACTCTTTCTTACCTGCGAATTCTCGAGTTCCTCTTTCATCTCCTATCCACTACCACACTCATACATTCCCTCTAACCACCTTCCTCCTTCCCTCCCACCACTACTCCTATCTATCTATTTATCCATCTATCTCTCTTGTTTTTTCTTTCTCTCTCTCTCTCTTAAATTCGTGCACTGCAACGACGTATCGTTTCATCCCTACTTCTTGCTCTTTATCTTCCTCACTCTCTCACTCTCTGTCTTTCTTTATCTTTCTATCCTTATTTCTCTCGGCACTTTGCTCGGCGAAACGTTCGACGATTCTTCAAACGCACGCACGGTAATGGAATTCGCAGCGCACAACGGCGCTCGTTTCTCAAACGATTTTATCCTCCTCAGCGTGTAAAAGGGAACAACGGACTCTAAAATACGACACAAAGTGTATCTCTCTCTCTCTCTCTCTCTCTCTGTTTTTCTTTATCTTTCTTACGCTTCTTCTTTCCTCGTGGTCGATATGAAGAGATTCGCTTCGTCGATTAACTTCCGTTTTTCTTCTTCTTCTTCTTCTACTTTTACTTCCTCGTCTCGTTTTCTTGTTACTCATGCGGAACGACCATAGCGTGTTATACGCTATATTGTCTATCTTTCTCTTTTCATTCTTTACACAACACATACACGTGTACATGCAAATATACATATACAAGTAAACATACATAGTACAGACATATTCTATTTTACATATATTTTTCTTTTTTTGTTCTCTCGTTCGTTTTGTTTTCCTTTTTTGGTACTTCAGACCGGTACTCCCACGTGCCCATTTTTTTCCTTCGAAAAAGGACAGAACTACACACTTCACACCCCCTTTTCTTTGGCATGGATCTTTCATCTCGAGACATTCTTTTATCCCATTCTCTTCTTTATCATCCTCTCTCACTCTTTCCCTTTCTCTAAGCTTTCTCTTTT